CACTATCCACTGCACCAGCCGACCACCCAGAGTTAAATATGAGGTGAAATCTCCCAGACAAAATGAAGATAAATTTATCCATAAGAACAGCGATGACAAAGATACCTGTTCAATTATTCTTTAATTTATATGCAAACATATAACACTGAATTTGAAATCGACAACCTAAACTTCCTCCAAAGACTTAAAAATAAACATTTTACAATTATTTCAGATCCTATAAATTGGAGCCCTGACACAAGTTGCCCATGGCAACATAACCTGAAACTACTAGCAGTACCAGTCCTAACACTGACAAGAGCTGCAGACCTCACACCTGACTGGAGCTGGTTCTCTGCCACTACTTATTGTTGTTATACTGAGCTTAGCAAATAGCGTCAAAATTTTAGTGTTTTCATGTTAAAGACAAGTTCTGTCAAGTTTTTTCTGGATGCCTAAAAATAATGCTATCTAATTTTTCCCTGCAATTCCTCTCTCCAAATTTTACATTAGCAATTTCGCCCAAAATTGATATAAGGATATTCCCTAAATATTAATACAAAGGTTCATATAATTAGAAGAACTTTTATATCATTTCCTTCCATCTATAGGTTATATCTCCCATTTATTGCCTATTCCCTTCGTTTTAGGATTGTATATTGAATTCGGCATTGGCACTGTCGTCATGTTTACCAGTCAAATACCAATGACATATATACCGGTAACCGGCAATAGCCTTTTGTTGTCGTCCTCCTTATTATATAAACAAAAGACACACCAGCAATGTTGGCAGAAGGCTGTTCTATTTATTAGGATTATCGATTAATTATTTCTGATTTGAATTTTGCTATTCTTAGATTTGCAGAGGTGTTTTTTTTTTCATTTAAATATTCAAAGTCAAAACGAAAATGTCAGGATTGAACTGTTTTCAGATGGCAATCATTGACAATAAGAGTGGCACCAATTCATTACGGAGTGCACTTCCTCCGGTAATACAGCTACCGTTTATACTGCAATGCTAAATGTCTTTTTTTATAAACTGTGTCACTCATCATACAGGAACCACATTATTTGTTGTAAACTGGTTTCTGGGGGCTAAACAAAAACATCAAACAACACTAGAAGAAACAACTATTGATTTTTTCCTAAAACTGACATCTCTAATGAGCATTTGTGATTGAATTACCTGTTTTCTTCATAAATGGGGTGATAAATTGATGTCAAAAAATGTTGTTGAAAGAAGACTGCATTTCAAGATCTGATCAAAAAGACGGTAATCGGTTGACCTTGAACATTTAACCTGATAATGAAGCTGTGTGGCTGTCATCAAATGTGCAACTCATCAATCATGTCACAGCCACTAAAACCTGGCAAGGAGACGAATATTCTGTGTAAAAATACTCTCGTTTATGGCATTCAATGACTTTTGTCAATTCTTGATCCTTTCAGGTTTATTAACAAATTGAATTTTTCAATCTTGAGTTGTTTTGTTTTCTTAATCTTTCGATTAGAATGTTTGGCATCTGAGTCTAAAATATTTCTTCATTAGATTACTGCAATGTTTGTTCTCTATTATAAACAAAACCCAGGCCTCAGTGTGGAAGCCATCATAAACTGACGGACAATTTTCAGTTCAGATCTGTGCAAGCATAGTCTTGCACCCAATTTTACTCCGGCCTCTGGTTAGATGTTTCAAAATACATATTATAAATAATAAATATTTTAAACACTCCCACACTTCCAATAAGGCAATGTAATTTTAGATAAAAATATCTTACAATAGTGTTTTCAATTTTCCATTTATATTGTTTCCTTTTATGCATAAAAGAAATCTTTCTAGATTTTATCAGACATTAACACTAATGAAAAACTATATTGAATCTTGTATAAATCGATACAGACATATATATCATGACCTTTATAAACCTACGTCTTACACAAGTCAAAAGAAACATTTTTTTTTGTATAGTCTGGTCAAAACAGAACACTTTGTTTATACAGTACCACTGAAATAAATCTACTGCTTTCAGCCTCCTTATTCAGATAGTTTATATATTGCCTGTTAAATGTTCGGAAGAGTCTCAAAAACATTTCAACAGGTAAAGACAGATAGTTTGGCAAAACAAAACAAAAACTTCTTTTAAGACCTAGACAGTCCAAAAGGAAGGTGGCAACACTAGGTAAAATCAATATCACCTGACCTTGGAACTAGTTGATAAGCCCGCCATTCTGCAACAGTCTCTGTAAATGTCAGATCCAAATTTATATGTCAAGAGAAATTCCATTTCACCAAAGTGGTGCCAGCTATGTCCAACTCTCTGACGGGGTGGTGTAATATCCTGTTGCCAAAGTCATCTATGGTCTAGCAGGCCTGCATCATTTGTCTTATTCTACTGTTAAAACTTGAACTGGACTCAGAGTCGACTAACCTACATACAGCTTGACCCACATTGGTCTCCAGGACTTAGGGAACACATCCGTCTATATAGAGCTAGGTGGACATAATAGTCTATAAAGGACCTGGGGATATAAAAGGGTCAAGGCATGTTGGACAATCTAGACGCCAGGCATGGGAGAAACACTAGGCTCAAGAACTTTGAGAAACACTAAGCTCTTGGCATGGGAGAAACACTAATAAGCTCTAGGCATGGGAGAAACACTAAGGCTCAAGAATTAAGAGAAACACTAAGCTCTAGACATGGGAACAACACTAGGCTCTAGGCATGGGAAAAACACTAGGGCTCAAGAACTGGGAGAAACACTAAGCTCTAGGCATAAGAGAAACACTAAGGCTCAGGAATTGAGAAAAACACTTGGCTCTACGCATGGGAGAAACAATAAGGCTCAAGAATTGAGAGAATCACTTAACAGGCTAGGCATGGGTTAAACACTAAGCTCTAGTTAGGCTTGGGAGAAACACTAATAAGTTCTAGGCATGGGAGAAACACTAAGCTCTAGGCATGGGAGAAACACTAATAAGCTCTAGGCATGGGAGAAACACTAAGGCTCAAGAATTAAGATAAACACTAAGCTTCATAGGCATGGGAAAAAACACTAGGATTTAGGCATGGGAAAAACACCAGGCTCTAGAACTGGGAGAAACACTTAGCTCTATATATATAGGCATGAGAGAAACACTAAGGCTCAAGAACTGGGTGAAACACTAAGTTGTAGGCATGAGAGAAACACTATAAGATCTAGGCATGGGAGAAACACTAAGGCTCAAGAATTGAGAAAAACATTAAGCTCTAGGCATGGGAGAAACACTAAGGCTCAAGAATTGAGAGAAAAATTAAGCTGTAGGCATGGGAGAAACACTAAGATCTAGCCATGGGAGAAACACCAAGCTCTAGGTACAGTATGGTATACGCTAGTCTCTAGCCATTGGGGACATAAGGTTCAAAACGATGGAGAAAGGCAACAGGCATGGAAAAATCTCAAGAAACTTTAGGCTCTAGGTGTCAAGAAATAGGAGAAGCACTAAGCGGTAGACACAGTAGGCTTTAGGCATTTTGAACAAACGTTACATGTATAGTACAAACACTATAGGCCCAAGGCATGGGGCACACTGGTCTCAAGATGTTTGGGACATCCTAGTCTTTAAAGGATCAGGGACAGACCAGACTTAAATTTAGGCGTGTGGGCATATAGACACAGGATTCAAGGACATATACTGGGCTCAATACATTGGAAACAACACACAAAGCTTAATAAGAGTCGTACACTCTTCTTATTATATTCAAAACACCAAACTTCAACCATTGATTGCAATTGAAAAGAAATACACTCTGCCTCTGAATGGAAACTTGCACAACCTGTAACTTTGCCTTTTGCCTTAGATATTGAAGCTTTACCAGGACATGAGACTGGTATCAAAACATTGCACAAACATGTTAGGATCAGGATAATCGTCTGAGTATCACCGATTCTTAAATTAGTAATCAAAGAAATGAATGTATTTTGATTCAAACATCAATTTAAAGAAACGAAATGAATAGAATGTATGAGCAGATTTGGCAGACATCAGGGCATCATCTTATTCCTGCAGAGTTATAAGAGTACAAAGATGACATTAAGCAGGTTCACCGAGATTGTTATAAATTATGTACACCCCACTGTGTAGCCAGCAAACCTAGCGGCCAAACACATGCGCCGTGTGATGTATAATTGAATTCAGTTCTCATTTAAACATTAAATGAAATTTTATAAAATTTTCTTTTTTTATATCCTTGTTTGAGATGAGGGCATAAAACAGTAATGAGATTTCTTTTTGAATTTGTTCAATGAAAAATGTTCTTTGAAACGAAAAACAAAAAGAGAAGACACTGTAAGAGAAATGTTGCCGTGCAAGGCAGTATTTTTATAAATATAATTGTTCCTGAATTGGATTTGGATAAGTCAGTTTGCATGATTCCACATTCAAACAACTGTGAAGAAATCAAATCTGTTATAATATTGTGCTGAAAATTGTGTTTAGATTAGTGTTTGATCAAATTTGAAGATTTCCTAGGAAAGGGAGATAAATCTGAAACAGAAACTGTGTGACCATAGCTATATAGGCATGCAGAAAAAGAGTCATGTTTAACATATATATATTGTTATATATAATATTACATGTGTAAGCTATAATCATTATCTACAATATAATAATGATACATATCTTATGATACACACAATACTGAAAATGATATGAGTTTGCAGGTGTATATATATATGAAAGATGTAGAAAAAAGCAGAAATCTCTAATTTTACCTACAACTCATAGTGAAAATTAACAATGTGTATGATAAGAAAGTTCCAACAGTTTAAAGGTTAAGAATGTTAGTTTCTTTTTTACACAAACCAGAGGTGTAATTAACCAAATACAAGCATACTAGGCCTATTAGTATAACTCAGTACTGCCTCTCAGTGCAGATTGATGCAGGCAGAAATTTCACACGGCCGAGAGAGAAAAGATGATGAGAGCAGTCTAGGAGAGCACACATCTAATTGCTCATACTTGTTCTACTTATTATACTTACTATCAATTAGCGCCTTTAAGCCTAAGCGTTTTGGAAATCAAAATACAAATTTTTAGAATTTCACTAATTTATGTATTTGAAGGTAGTTTATAGAAATAGAAAGTCAAGAGATGGAGAAGGAAGCTACAGATGTAACAGTCAAGCATCAATGATATATATGGTATAATCTACTCTCCTACTTTATAAACATAGTACTGGGTTTTTTCTTTGATATTTTTCATAATTTCAACTCTAAGTAAAAATTCTATATGCAAATACTTTCATTAAGAAGTGAACTATATCATGAACTATGGGTGCTTATAATTTCTCTAAGGAAAATACAAAGGCTAACTTGTTTCCTTAACGAATATTCAGTATTCTAATGAAGACTACAGTTCCGTCAAACAGACATGGTACCTACCTTGACAACCCCTGGCGATGGAAGAAAACACCTTGATGGAGTCGTTGAGAATGTCTGGGCGTGGTCCGTTGAGATCTAGAGAGGCAAGGCAGCCCTGGAACCCATGTCGAGAGGAGATCAGTTTGGGGAGGGAGTTGTACATGGTCTTGCTGACTCCACCCACATACAGCATACCCTCTAGGTTGAAGTGTAGAGTGTCTGATCCATGCATGTTTTCCACAGTCGGGTGTTGGTCATCCACACGAATTGTCTGTTTGTCCATCACTGGACGCAATAGACGTACATCATGCCACTCATTGTCGCTGAGACGGTTGATGGTGTTGACGACGACTCGTTTAGCTCCAGCTCCCGTGTTGTAGACGTAGTGAAGGTAACCTCCCTGCAATTCAAAAGCTAGAAAGTCTTGTCCTCGCCCACCGTTGTACATGATCAAACCATCTGGCTCTGTCGTCTTAAACTTGAAATATACAGAAAATTCAAGATAGGCACTTAGTTTTTCAAGTTGAGCGTACGCTTCTTTAGACTTAAAGGTCACAGGGTTCATGAGCATCGGTTCATCAGTGAGAAAGCGAGCTGTGGTCTCAATGTTTTGGATGTCCTGTGATTTCGCCATCTCAAAGAAGTGGTGTCCATTAAAGATGAACTGTTGCATGGATCCTACAAAGCCACTATACTGTCGGAGTCTATTGTCATCCTGGACCATACGACCCACTTCCATACGCCGAAGATTCAACTCTCGAGCATTCCTTGGGAGAGAATCTGAAGGATTTCAAGAGAAAGTATGTCAAATGCATTTACAGGCAGTAATGAAGGTAAAAAAAACTTTCATTTTTAAAATATTTTTACTATACTGATCTTATATAGTTAGAAAAAAACTGATAAAGATTATAAAAATGGAAACATGTCAAAAGTTAAGGTCAAGTATTCGACATCTTTTCCTTCAGAGGTCTTTAACTGATGTTTTAAAATATTGTTGCCACCTTAACCAAAATTAATCCTTGTTCAAGAAAAGTGGTAAAATAAGTCATCAAGTAATCAATTAAATTTTATTTTTGATTCTGATTTAGTAGATCCAACACCTGATACAACAAAAGTATAAAATTCTGCTTTAACTTCTGACTACATTATAATACACATTTTGCCATTAAAATCTTTGAATCAAATCAACTTTAATAATTTTTCTTGTTTTTGTTTATAGCCATGAAATTTGAAAATAAAACGAAAATAAGAAAAAATTATCATTTTTTTGAGTTTTTATTTTTTCTTGCATTCTGAAGATAAAATTAAGATTAAAATGCCATACCATATATACATGACTTATTTATAAAAAGATCAGCGTTGTCTTTCAAATCTCAAGCAAATTTTAAAATGTGAGGGAAAAACTCTCAATTTGACTTGACATAAAAACATCATTGAGTATGTATTTGTACGCAATTATCTCACCACCCTATGACGATCCACATATACAGTTGATCACAAACTAAATGGATGCAAATTCGAAATCTCAGAAGAAATAACTTCACAATGCATTTTTCATGACAATGGAACCTTTCATACCTTCAGATAGCAGCTTGTCAGATTTTAGAGACTAATATCACTTTGTTTGCCTATTTTTGGCTCGTTGTCAAGGTGGGAGTCCAGGGGATGTGTGGGCAGATAACACCCCATGCCAAGGTCAGAAGCAAGGTCAAACACAATTATACCTTTGTTTGTCAATGGTGTTGAACTGGCCAGTGATTATAGACAGTAAAATCTCACAGACAAGGTGAATGTACCATGTCAATAAGGATATAAAATTGTAGTGTACATGTACTTCTATGTCTAAGATATTCCACACGAACACAAGTTATTATACAACCAAAGCTGGTAATGGTACAGTATGGGCAGAAGAAAAGACAGAAGCTACCATGCACACCAACAACAATTGATTAAAGTATGTACATTTTTATGTTCCAGCGTTTTTCTTCTTACATATTTGGCATAGTGCAATGCCTACCTAGATATTTCTACTTACCTCCCTTCTACATACTTCATATCCTCTTAACTCCTTCACCCCTGAAGACACATTTGAAATCTTCCAATTCCAAGGTTGGAATAGTTCATCATCAAATTTCAGGGGTGAATGAGTTAAAACACATTAATTCTCATTGAGCCAAACAAAACTGTTTTTTTTTTTTTTTTGCTTTACCAAAAATGTATAGGTTCAAATGTTAAAGCAGAGATGATAAGTCCTCAACATTTGTCTTTTAATTAACAACTAGTTGTAAAGATTAATGCTATAGTCAGAAGTCCTGAAACATACAAAATTGATTCAACTGGCCGTAAGTGTGTGCACATTTTGAAATTACAAGATACACATTTCCCTATGCTAGCATTATTATGACCATGAAGAAACATGAAGAACTAAAACCAGGCTTTTCTGTGAAAGGCAAATTTAGTTCTTAAAACTTTTTCCCTTTTTCCTTAAAACAAGAGGCCCAATGGGCCTGCATCGCTCACCTGGTATAACACTCACACTTGTAACCTTAAAAGTGATCTAAAATAAAGCTACAGGCTAAATATCAGTATTTATGATTAAAATTCGTACAAAAGACCCTGTTATTTTTTTTCTAAACATTTCACCCCTGTGATTGAAAGGTGAACAAAGTCATCATGTTGAACACATTGTATACGCTTTCATCTCAGGATGCAACTTGCAAAGTATAAACATCCTGGGACCCATGGTTATTCATAAGAGGTTGTTTAAAGATTTTAAACAAATTTGATCCCTGTGAACTTGAATATAAGTCAAAGTCATTCACTTTAACAAACATAGTAGTCCTTGATCCCAGCATATGCTGCTAACTAAATATCAACATCCTGAGCCTTTTGGTTATAGAACAAGTTGTTAAAATATTTTAAACATATTTGCTCCTTGTTGCCTGGAAGATGATTCAAGGTCATACATTTAAACAAACTTGGTAGCCCTTGATCCTAGTATGCTACTGACTAAATATCATCACCCAGGGCATTTTGGTTATTGAGAAGAAGTTGTTTAAAGTTTTTAACATATTTGACCCCTGTGACCTTGAAAATGGGTGGTCATTCATTTGAACAAACTTGGGAGCCCTTCACCCTAGCATGCTACTGACCAAATATCATCTCCCTGGGCAGTTTGGTTATTGAGAAGAAGTTGTTTAAAGATTTTAACATATTTGACCCCTGTGACCTTAAAAATAGATGAAGGTCATTTATTTGAACAAACTTGGCAGCCCTCCATCCCAGTTTGCTTCTGGTCAAATATCATCACCCTAGGCCTTCCGGTTATTAAGAAGAAGTCGTGCCAGTTGAGCTAAAAAGCATGTGAATGAAACTTGGACGACTAAATTATATTTGCTCCTTGTGACCTTGAATATGATTCAAGGTCATACATTTAAACAAACTTGGTAGCCCTTGATCCTAGTATGCTACTGACTAAATATCATCACCCAGGGCATTTTGGTTATTGAGAAGAAGTTGTTTAAAGATTTTAACATATTTGACCCCTGTGACCTTGAAAAAAGATGAAGGTCATTTATTTGAACAAACTTGGCAGCCCTCCATCCCAGTTTGCTTCTGGCCAAATATCATCACCCTGGGCATGTTGGTTATTCAGAAGAAGTTGTTTAAAGTTTTTAACATATTTGACCCCTGTGACCTTAAAAATAGATGAAGGTCATTTATTTGAACAAACTTGGCAGCCCTCCATCCCAGTTTGCTTCTGGCCAAATATCATCACCCAGGGCATTTTGGTTATTGAGAAGAAGGTGTTTAAAGTTTTTAACATATTTGACCCCTGTGACCTTGAAAATGGGTGAAGGTCATTCATTTGAACAAACTTTGTAGCCCTTGATCTCAGCATGTTACTGGCCAAATATCATCACCCAGGGCATTTTGGTTATTGAGAAGAAATTGTTTTAAGATTTTAACATATTTGACCCCTGTGACCTTAAAAATAGATGAAGGTCATTTATTTGAACAAACTTGGCAGCCCTCCATCCCAGTTTGCTTCTGGCCAAATATCATCACCCAGGGCATTTTGGTTATTGAGAAGAAATTGTTTTAAGATTTTAACATATTTGACCCCTGTGACCTTGAAAAAAGATGAAGGTCATTTATTTGAACAAACTTTGTAGCCCTTCAGCTCCGCTAGCTACTGGCCAAATATCATCTCCCTGGGCAGTTTGGTTATTGAGAAGAAGTTGTTTAAAGTTTTTAACATATTTGACCCCTGTGACCTTAAAAATAGATGAAGGTCATTTATTTGAACAAACTTGGCAGCCCTCCATCCCAGTTTGCTTCTGGTCAAATATCATCACCCTAGGCCTTTCGGTTATTAAGAAGAAGTCGTGCCAGGTGAGCTAAAAAGCATGTGAATGAAACTTGGACGACTAAATTATTAGTGTGGACTGTAACCGTGTGGACTGTAGCCTTAAGCTTGTCTTGTCATGATTAAATGAAGTGTGGCAGTTTAATGTAGAGTTCAGGTGTATCGTTGACATATCTGTTGCAGGGTGATATGATTGTGGTAGGGTGATATATGACTGATGTAGGGTGATATGACTGATGTAGGGTGATATGTCTCATAAAGGGTGACATTGAGTAGTATAGGGTGTTATGTCTAGTGTTGGGTGATATGGCTGGTGCAGTCTGAGCTAGGATGACATTCTGTTGTAGGGTGATATGATTGAGGTAGGGTGATATGACTGATGTAGTGTGATATGATTGAGGTAGGGTGATATGACTAATGTAGGGTGATATGACTGATGTAGGGTGATATGATTGATATAGGGTAATATATGGCTTATAAAGAGTGACAGTGAATATTAGGATGTTATGTCTGATGTAAGGTGATATGTCTAATAAAGGGTGACATTCTGTTGAAGGGCGATAAGTCTGATGTAGGGTAACATTCTGTTGAAGGGTGATATGTCTGATGTAGGGTGATATGTCTCATAAAGGGTGACATTCTATTGAAATGTGATAAGTCTGATGTAGGGTGACATTATGTTGAAGGGTGATATGTCTGATGTAGGGTGATATGTCACATAAAGGGTGACATTCTGTTGAAGGGTGATAAGTCTGATGTTGGGAGTTTTTGATATATTATTTAAAATTCACTGGGGAAATTACATCTCCTTATCACCCAAGTAGATTTTACTAGCAGTTCCAGTAATACAACCATTTATAAGGTATTTATCCTGAACAACTATTTGGTGCTAATCAAAAACTGTTACAAATTCTTTAAACAAACTTTTATAAAAATAAATGTTCAGGAGCAATGGATTTGAGACATTTGTTTAAGTGTTGAAGGAATTGAAAGCTTTAAAATTCTGAATTTTCTTTTTTACGACATTGCGCATGAACATCCATTCCTGGACAATCATCCGATTAACAGCTGTTTCAACACTAACAATCTTCCTGCCTAGTGCCAAGTCTTCCCATTTAAGTGTTACAGAGACATTAATTGGCAATTAAGAATCTCCAAATAAGAAGAGTCCTTGACTCCTCATTTTCTCAGCAATCTGAAATGAATATTCCAACTAAACTGTTGTAAACAATGGCTTTCATGTTTCAATAAGATTATTCCCCATCATACAGATGAAGTAATTTCTGACACTTCTATACATAATGATCAAGTTATAATGAGGTATTATAATACTATAACCTGTTGCTGAACTTTCTCAAATGTTTATGTATAAAACAATATATAAAGGAGCTTTATGTGGTTCCACAAGTTTCATTAATTTCATATGAAGTACAAACAAAATAACAACAATTCTTTTCCACATCGTTCAGGGAGTCTAAAATCCCACCATCTTGACTCTGTATGTATCTACTGTCTCCATTGTGACATCATATTATCTGACAGTCTGTGTTATTATTATTTCGGTAATGTTTTATGATATTACAATAGATCATTTAGGTTGTATTTATTGAATAACAAGTTAATCCTGTGATAAATCTGTATATGTAACATAACGTCTATATCAATTACCCACCGCAACACTGACCGTTTTATGATCAGGATTGAGAGAGATATCTAATGTCTGTATTTAATAACTAGTGATTTACTGGGTATCAGATCTTCCAAGGCAGCAAAACCCCTACAATTATAGGTTAGTGGATATCAATCTATCTAAAACTTCTGGAATTGATCTTCTGATGCAGCCATTGTCAGCTATGGAAGATGACAGACAAAGATGTGTATGTATGATATGTCAGCTTCAGTTACATTGATAGACTATACAGAACATAAAACTCATGCACAAACATCTAAAAGAATCAGCTCAAATGCCACACAAACAGTTCCTCATCTTGGTCAATCAGGAGCTTAACAAAATCATAATGCAGAACCAAAGGATATCAACACAAACTTAACAGCATGGGATTTCTGAGGGGAAACAAAACAGTAGCAAATAGACACGGCTAGAACAACACAGATGAGAGGTGATAGAAGAATTACCGGCGTAGCCCAATACCAGGTTTTTGACATACAAGACCATGGTATAGGACACAGGTATATAATCTGAAATGGAAATTAGTATACAATGATATACCAGTGGTCAGTGACAGGTGATATATGTAATACTTATAGGTTCCTATAGTCATTCGAATTCTCAACCATATATACCACTCAATGGGTAGTCAATTTCTTTTGCTTATCTATATATTAACTTAATCTCTCTTCCTTTTCAAATTATTTTCATATTATCCATTTCTGTGACAGGCTTTGAGTGTCCTTTATAGTACAAGCAGATGATGTTCTGTGATCTCAAAAGGCTATTATGTTCTAGCTATTTTAGAAAGTCCAAGAAATTTTCCATATTTTTCCAATCTGATGATGGCATAGAACTAGCCTTAACTATCTGTCTGGTTTCATTTAGAAAACTCTGTCTTTTATTTACTTATTAACTAAAGTATAAAGACGGATGGCTGCTCCATCTCTACAGCGCCATTATAGCAAAAGCCAGCAAAACCAATATAAAGTACTGTAGTAAGGTTTGGAAACACACCGAACAATTGTCCCAAACTGGGTATTTACTTCAGCGAGCTGCCTTGGCATTGCTCTTTGCCTTGCTTTTGAAAACCTATTATTAAGTATACTAATATATCACTTAAACAGGCCAATCAAACGGCAAGGTCACCAAATTAGGTAGCCAATACAATCTGTAACCAAATTAGGCCACATTACAAGATGGTTATACCGAAGTGAGGCTATTATTATAACTGGTTGACATATAAATCAACAAAAATAATGGACGGTGTAATGCTTACTACACGCTTAATGGCTAGTCACCAGACTAGGTTAACATTTAGAGAAAACATTGGCAGAAACAAGAACGAGGTTGGTCAACTCTGAAAACAATCAATTTTTCTCAAGACAGATGCTCTACTTTAAACAAAGCCAGACAAATGAATGTCATAGCATTAAACAGTGTCTGGTGTTATCTCTAAGCAAGGAGTTAAAAACAAATAAAGCTGACTTGGCTTTAGTTTTCTTCTTAACCAGCTCTACTCAACAATATCTTCACCTTGGAAATTTTGATTTATCATTGCTTTGAAGCCCTATATTTTGAATGATGAGAAATATTATGAATGTTTGAACAATTTATTGTCACAATGGCCTGCTTTGAAAACATATTACTGTCACAGTGGAAAGACAACCAGGACAGCTGAAGGTTGGTGCTGATCCGTTAAGGTCAGATATATCCATGACAACAACTTCTCTATGAATGATGAGATGGACCACAGTGCTACTGAACACATACAAGATGACATTTTTTCTGACATTCTATCTAAAAATAGATTGCTTGCAAGCTCTTGTTAGGTGTTCATACTCAAAAGTAAAGTAGAGGCTGACACATAAGGTTCAAAAACGGTTGCAGTGGAAACCTACCTCCGATGGGATTGTCGTTATCGAGGCTGAGTTCCACCTGGGAGCCACGTCTCTTTATGATGACAGTATGCCATTGGTCATCATCAAGTCTCCTACGACCAATGGTGAGAATCTGAAATTTAATGAAATCAGAAATAATAACACAAGAGTTGCTTTGGTGAATTCTTTCTTAAACATTAAGTCTCAAAACTGAAAATAAAAGTCACATATCTATGAGTACATAACAAGGATGACCTATTAGGATGAAAGAAGGACATGTTTTCAGCTGGTGAAACCTGCCGTACCTGGTGTAAGACAGGAGCATACAATGTAGCTCCGAGGGTTCGACTGTTGATCGACGTGTCTACAGATAATGGTACTTAATGGCAAACACTAAGGGCTATAAGCTTTTAACAACCTGCCTGGCTCAGGTGTGTCTGCTTAAATGATTTCCTTTCTTTTTAACAACAACAAAAATTTGTGATGACTGGAAACATTGAAGGCTGTCAAATGTGGATCTGCATAGAAAAACTCAACTGTCGAGGTTTCATGAAAGTTCTAAATCAGATTGAAGTGAAAGGTTGGATTTCCTCAAAAATCAAATGATTATTAAACCAGTTAAATCATAATGAATGAATTACAGAAAAACCAAATTTGAAATATTGTGAAACTTTGAAATATATTTACATTCATTTTCAGAGCATTTATTTCTTAAAAAAAAAGAAGACTTTTGTGATACCCAGACCATTGTGAACTACTTAACCGATAGCAAGCTGACAATGTTTTCAATAAAAAGCTGCAGGAACTCCACACAATACTAACACAATTGAGAGGTTAATTTCTTTTAAACATTGATGTCCATTACTTTTATTATTGTTTTAAAACAGTCACTGAAAAAAATCCATGCTGTTATACCAGATAGTACAGCCAGGAAAAGATGGCCAAATGCCCAACACTGAGAGAAAATGGAAACGGATTTGTAAAGTTCAAATCTCTAGGCTTTTCTTTTAAAATACCATAAAATTGTGGGTTGTAGTGTCTGCACAGTGGTAAGTGGGGGGTGAGGTGATTGAAATAGTATTCGATAGGTGGCCATTAAACTAGCAAATTAGATTTGAATACAGGGAGCCGGCTTGAGAGTAAATGCAGCGAAATGACCTGAATCTATCCCAGCATCACAGACAATAGCGACCACCGTCTGGAATAACCTTACAATATAGCATCTTCCATCAATCTGTGTGTGACAGGAACAGTACTGGTATACCATCAGCCTCTGACCACTAGAACAATATGTCCATAAATCACTGTTCTAAACGTTACAATACTCTAAAAGCAAGCACAGCTACATTTAAACCATTCAAATATATTCTGGTCATCACAACAGCTGAAATTACTACAATTTTCTTCCAGCAATCATAGTAAGTTGTTACCACAATAAGTTCTAATTTTGTCCTCGTGTGTTGATATTATGTAACATATTTTGTCCATGTATGTTGAGGCTGTGAAACATTAATGTCTATGGTAGGTATGTTGATGCTGTGATATATTTTGTGTTTGTGTGTTGATGCTGTGGTGCTACATTTTGTCTGTGTACCTGAAGTCCACAGGTTAGCTTATGTACCCTGTAGTCCACACTTAGCTAAATTACCATGTAGTCCACACTTAGCGAAAGTACCCTGTAGTCCCCACTTAGCTAAAGTACCATGTAGTCCACTCTTAGCTAAAGTACCCTGTCGTCCACAGTTTAGCTAATTTATCCTGTAGTCCACAGGTTATAGCTAATGTACCCTGTAGTCCACAGGTTAGCTAATGTACCCTGTAGTCCACAGTTTAGCTTATGTACCCTGTAGTCCACACTTAGCTAAAGTACCATGTAGTCCACACTTAGCTAAAGTACCCTGTAGTCCACAGGTTAGCCAATGTACCCTGTAGTCCACAGGTTAGCTAATGTACACTGTAGTCCACACTTAGCTAAAGTACCCTGTAGTCCACAGTTTAGCTAATGTATCCTGTAGTCCACAGGTTAGCTAATGTACCCTGTAGTCCAGAGGTTAGCTAATGTACCCTGTAGTCCACAGGTTAGCTAATGTACCCTGTAGTCCACACTTAGCTAAATAACCCTGTAGTCCACAGTTTAGCTAATGTATCCTGTAGTCCACAAGTTAGCTAATGTACACTGTAGTCCAGAGGTTAGCTTATGTACCCTGTAGTCCACAGGTTAGCTTATGTACCCTGAAGTCCACACTTAGCTAAAGAAGCCTGTAGTCCACAGGTTAGATTATGTACCCTGTAGTCCACGGGTTAGCTTATGTACCCTGTAGTCCACAGGTTAGCTTATGTACCCTGTAGTCCACACTTAGCTAAAGAACCCTGTAGTCCACAGGTTAGCTTATGTACCCTGTAGTCTACACTTAGCTAAAGTACCCTGTAGTATACAGGTTAGCTAATGTACCCTGTAGTCCACAGGTTAGCTTATGTACCCTGTAGTCCACACTTAGCTAAAGTACCCTGTAGTCCACAGGTTAGCTAATGTACCCTGTAGTCCACAGGTTAGCTAATGTACCCTGAAGTCCACACTTAGCTAAAGTACCCTGTAGTCTACAGGTTAGCTAGTGTACCCTGTAGTCCACAGGTTAGCTTATGTACCCTGTAGTCCACAGGTTAGCTAATGTACCCTGTGGTCCACACTTAGATAATATACCCTGTGGTCCACACTTAGTAAATGTACCCTGTAGTCCACAGGTTAGCTAATGTACCCTGTAGTCCACAGGTTAGCTAATATACCCTGTGGTCCACACTTAGCTAATATACCCTGTGGTCCACACTTAGTTAATGTACCCTGTAGTCAACACTTAGCTAATATACCCTGTGGTCCACAGGTTAGCTAATGTACCCTGTAGTCCACAGGTTAGCTAATATACCCTGTAGTCCACAAGAGGTTAACTATATATTTTAAGCAACAGTTCATATAGACACCATATTTTTACCTGCTGAAAACTTTAAGCCCCCAAGATAAACACCTAATAACTAATGCATTGCATATTAACCTATACATACAAACAGGATTACTTAAAGACCATTTTTTTGTTTAGTTTTTTATGTAAGGTGTCTTTCACAACACCAAAGTATATATTAGCAAATCACCTGTATGACCTTTTCATCATTATTCGATGAAATCATTCATATGTTGACCAATGGTCATTATAAGCCTACCTTAGAACCACTGCCCACTCTGATTTCTAGCTTGACCAGTCCATTTTCAAGATAGAGGGCCATAGAATCAAATGATCGGTATGAGGAGGTCATGAAGAGCAGACCGTTGGGGTGTTGTGTTCGGAAGCGTAGCGAGATATCCTCAGCCTCTGTATGGGATTCTTTGTCCAGCGTGATCTTCATGAACTGGGCACTGTCAAAGGCTAGGGTTGCTGCTTCTGTAAGTACAAAATAATAAATTTGATAAAAACTTCACTGAATTTCTATTGACATCTAGGTGATTTTTTCACTTTCAGTATCGGTGGATAGTTATGTCAAACAGACCAGAACTCAATTCAGCTCCGTCTGTTTGAAAATCATATTAGCTCCACCTGTCAGACGCTCAAATGCAATTTATTTCAATGAGTCAAAATCAATTTGGTCTTCAAATGTGACTTATAGGTTTTTCTCCACCTGTCCGAGACCCAGAAGTAACTCAGTTCAATATCGAAAATGATCAGTGTAGTTCGAGGACTTTCCTGGTCAGGTTAAGTTAATCGTTATAACAGGATTATATTATGAGATTTTAATTGTACATAGGTTACGGTCGCCTTCTAGCTTCGAGCTAGGAACCTGGAAATCACAGGTTCGATCCCCAGTGGAAGCACACTATTCTCTTTCTGTTACAAATGGTGTCTGTAGCCCTCCCTGTGGTGACAGGGATCTCAAACCTGGGCAAACACATTTAAAAAGGTGGGAGAAGTGTAGCAGATTTTAATTGTATATAGGTTACAGTGACCTTCTAGCTTCGAGCTAGAGGGAATTTCCCCTTAGCTCAGTGGTAGAGAGGCCGACTAGGAACCTGGAGATCCAGGGTTCGATCCCTGGGGGATGCACACTACTCTCTTTCTGTTACAATATAATTATATGGTAACAAGATATAGAGGTCATGTTCCTCATGGAAAAGTGGTGTAAGTAGACAAAGGACGAAGTGACATTGGTCTTTATACACAGACAGCTGTTATAGACAGTGTTTTATAAATCATGGAGTTCTAGTGACCTTTATAGACAGGTGATTGTAGAAAGGTTTGACAATTTAGTATAAAAGGTGGCGATTTAAGATCTTTATATACACGGATAGACGTTACAGAGAGGCATGACAATTTACAAAAGATGAAATTCCTGTCTTTATAGACAGGCGACCATTATAGATAGTTTTAAACATTTATAAAGAATGGAGTTGTACGTACCATTCTTTAGATAGATTACATGCTTCTAACAACTGTTTAAACTATACTGACAAAGGCACAATTGATATTATCTTTATAAAGAAATGACTCTTACAGATAGATTTCAATATTTACTAAGAATGGAATGGCAGTAGTCCTAGGCCTTATTGCCATAAAGTTGCAAATATTAGTCAAATTTGATAATTTAGAAATGATTGAGTGGTCGCTAGTGATCTTTATAGACAGGTGACAGTTTGAGACAGGTTAACCATTTACAAAAGGGTAGCAAACGTATGGAGTTTTTACATAGGCAAAGTGGTTGGTGTAGACAGGTTTTGTACACTTGCAAATCAATATGTTTACAACCACGATCATGGAAAATACATGAACAGTATGAATTTGGTGCCTATTTCCACTGTTTCCCTGTCCTAAAGATTATCAGTGAAGTGTCTTCTGGGAAGGATAGCGTAGTTAAGGGTGTCTGGAACCGACTGTTAAACCCGGAGACAATCAAACCTGCATTTCCTACAGTACGTGTACGATGTATCTGTCCCTCCCAAACAGCCCAAACCCAATCAACATCTACATGTGTCTACAGCTCAGAGGACAATAGGTCCCTCCATTCATCACTCTCGCACTGTCCCCGACTTAAATTTTCGATATACTGTGAAGTAATAATAAAACCCAAAGAAATTATCTGGAAAGTGAAATAAAAGCATGACATTAGCGCGTAATGTATGGCTCATAGCTGGAACGGTGTAGCTGGGAGACAGTTTATACGGCTTACCCTGGAGACACCATCACTATAGTTACATGCTGGTAGTGTTCGCCACCATTATTTTATCCGACTAAAACTACAGAACTGCGGAAGCAGACAAAACTACGCACGTCACAATGGTCATGTGTTATTGTCAACTCTGCACCATAACGAGTTTCAGGGCTGCGTTATTATATATGCTTCTGCTGTGATTTATTGCTACCATGGTGCAAGAAATCCTTCATCTTTCTTACAGAAAATTGCCCAACAAGCCTTCAGACAGATATACATAAATACCCCAATCAGTTCTGACTTATTATAGCAATGATTCATACCTTTTACCATGTATCACGTATTCTACGGTGTTTTCTTTATAAACACACAAGCAAGAACCTGAAAATACTAAGTTTGGTGTGAGGGAGCATTAAATTAAATTATTTAGCTATGATTGAAGAGGGAGAATGTATCATCACCAATTATTGTTTAGGCGCAGCTATCCTCGGCCCTCATTTCCCATGTCTGGGAGCTCTCGTGCTGGGAGGTAATAAGTCGTCCATAGCATGTCATTCACAAGACCTTGCTTTATTTTAGAATGACCAAGTCCCTGTTCACCATAAATTTCAATGAGGATTTCTAACTAGGGAATCACAACATTACTTTTTTCTTGTGGCTGTTGTCAAAATAAGGAGTGGGAAGATATTTAGTGATGATATAGTGATAACTTTGAACAATGATAGATACACATGTAAAGCTTCTGTTTGTGCTAGACAAATTTCAGAGAGTTTTTAGCATTTGATTAGGTTGTCTTAAAAAAAAGACCTTGTGGGAAATTGGGAAATTGGGAAATTGATTTGAATCAACTCTGTAGTATGTATTATAGGGACATCCTATGACGCCAGCATTGTAATGTCACAGCAGGGACCCATCAAGTCTCCGCCTACGGCCTCCGCTAGAGGACATTTCCTATTCTAGCTCTATTTATGGGGCACTGGACTAGAAATCTGTAGCCCTGGGTTAGAATCTCACTGAGGCACATGGAATGGCTGTATGTCCTTAGTTATCACTTTCAAAAGTAAACATGCACAGCCATAGATCATGGGAATTAAACCTTCATATACAATTTGAGAAAGATCCCTCTAGTACTTTATAAGATAAAGCGATAACAAAAAATGTTGATGATCAATTTAAGGTCATATAGACAGCATGGATGAAAAGTAATCGGAATATTCCACCATCTGATGATGGTGGGCTAAAAAACAAAGTCAATTGTATGCACAAATCATTGTCAAACTTTTAGGAACTCTTTAATTTATCTGATGTAGGTCAGTGGGATGAGTTGAAGTCCAACAAGTTTGCAGCAGGAAACTCCGGACAAAACCTTTACCAATCCGTCCCTAATGGTAAATATGTGTCAGGGCAATTATGGCACTGCCAATTTAGATTATGCAAATAGAGTATACTAAGTGGTCACAGAGTTCTGAAGCACTTTTTGTAAATATTTAAACAAATTACCATATTGACATATACAATACACGAGGAAAAGATTCAGAATTAGGTTAATTACCATTGACCAAGATTCAAAATGGCAGGTCAATCAAAGATCAATGATGTCAATATTGGCTTAAAAAAATAGACCAATCAAAATCAAGAGACCATGTTAAAATTAGGTAACAACTGTTTAACATGGAGTCAATGTCCTTTCGTTTTCTTTATTTGGTTACATGATCCATATCAAAAATCAGTTAACCATGCACTCCCAAACAAACACAATTATCGAAGTGATCTGTCTCCATCAACCTTAACTTAAACGTAATTTACTGGAATCAAATCTTCCAAATAACTTTCACATTTATCAATAGTTTAAATGATTTTGAACTTAATTTTTTCCGCAAGATATAGCGAAGAGTGGTGGGGCTCTGGCTATCAGATTATAACCATCACAATTGGTCGTGTGACAGATCCACTTGGTATTAGAACTCCTGATGGCTAATTTTGATGTATAGATATGATGTGGGGTACAATACTCGCCATGTGTATGAACAACATCAGTATAATGACTAAGTGAATGAGGATATAAATGTACTACATATTACAGATAATACTCACCATTATATTGTCTGAATATAACACATGGTTCAGCACCTATCTCACTTCGAGTGATGATTCAGATGTCAATAAATTACACTATTTTTTATCTTATATCACTTGCTTCGACCATGAAAATGAATATTTCAAAATAAACAAAGAAGATTTATATGTGATTCATGACTGTTCTTATCAGAACGAGTTCATTTTACATAAAATATACAGCCACAAACCTTGATAATGTTGGAACCATAAAAAACAATATAGCCAAGATAACACAGACCAATAGTAACCCAGCATTTATACAGGAAGCCCTACATACCCAGGAGTTGTTCATTTGACTCTGATTCACCATAACTGATTTTATGTTTTTGAGATAAAAACACTGGTTTATACTGCTGATTCATATGAGACTTAATCCTGCCCTCTGCATTTCCATTTCACACTGAATTCTTATTTCCCTCTGGATTCCCATTCTCACTGGATTCCTATTTTGCACTCAGATTACCATTTCCGACTGGATTCCCATTTAACAATTTATTCCCATTTCACATTCACACACAGCATTGCCATTTCCCTCTGGATTCCCATTTCCACCCAGTTCCCCATTTCCCACTGAATTCCCATTTCACACAAGATTCCAAAGGCATATCTCACACAAGATTTCCAGTTAATTCACACAGTTAGGAGTAATCTACCTTATGATATGTCCTTTATGTATGATATTTTCCTACATAAATATCTTCCAAATTTGAAATTCATGTCAATTTTAGGTTCAGATTTTATATGAAATAGAAAACAAATAGTAAAAAACGACCTTGTTAACACTCATTTTTCAAAATTACATTGAGATTATCAAGGCTTCAGAGTTAATGGAAGAGGAATTTTCATTTCAAAATATATCAGGTCAGGATTATTTGGAGTTTCCCATTATAGCAAGATTTCCTGAAGATGAGAGTCTGCATATAAAAAGGAGATATAATGAGGTTCCTTTACACGTGCCTCCTATGCCGAGAAGATGTTGCTTTAATATGTAAAGACAGGATTTCAACAAATAAAGAATGCCACGTTCTCCAGGGATCCTCTACTTGAGAGACACAAGGCGAGTTTCAAACACATAAAACAGCATCAATGACAACCGCCGATCTGCACTTGATCGTCCTGGGGC